AGCTGCCAAATAACTCTCAGCATGTGAAACTCCTCTAACTGCTCCCTTCATTCTCAAACATGTGAGAACAGCTCCATGGTGCAATGGTGCCTAAAACATTGTCTTAACCTGAACTGTGAACCCTAAGTCCAGAGGAAGTGACAACTTAAAAAATCCTCCCTTGTTTCCTCTGTGCTGTCTATTCAAAGGCCCAGTCCTGAAGCCCAAGTAGCCCATGCTGTGGCTAATTATTCTCACATTTCAAAACTGAGGGCCTTCTTTACTGAGAGCAAGTTGTGCTCCTTAGATTGCATTTAACAGAAAAAAAAATTAAGGAACCTAAGGAACTAAGCATGCAGAGCTGTCCCAGCACTGTACCCCAGCCTCCCTCCCCTCCCTGCTGTACCTGCTCACATCATGTTGGACCAGCATGCGGAAGGCGGTGGGAGCCGTGCAGAAGGTGGTGATGGGATATCTTGAGAGAGTCTAGGAAAACAGGAAGATATTGTGCTGAAAAGAAAGTGTAATTCTGGGTCTGACCTTGTAAATGTGCAGGTGATTAAAACAATTTACATGCTCAAATGTCTGCAAGATGAAAACATAAAAATGCTGGACCAGGCAGTCAAGTCCTGTAGAAAATATGGAACTTTCTGTCCAACCAAAAGTCACTCGTGTAAATGAAGGACCGGTGACAGCAGTAGTTGCAGTTAAGGTTTTTTTCTTGGGTTTTCTAAGGCATCTGTGTTGCAGGCTCAAGCCCAATGGGTGATAGGGAGCTAGATCAGAGCTTTCCCAGTATTATTCTTGGGAAGGTTAAGGTTTCTGCCCCTTACAAGAGGCCAATGTTGAGGAGAATCATCCGGCTGAGTGGTTTTGAAAAGTAGCTTGGAAGAGGAATAGGCTACCTAAATCTGCTACCTTTGGATTGCTTGGGATGTGGGGATTACTCACCTCTGCAATAACTTCTGGTTTAAACTGTGGCATATTGTGTACAAAGACACAGGATCCACAGATCCATGGTGTAAAAACACTGCCCCAGGCTGATTTTGCCCAGCCAGTATCAGAGGTATTCCACATTATATCTGAAGGAGTCAAGTTCATCCAATACCTGATGAAAAAGCAGAGATGAAAAAACTTTCAGGAAAAGCAAATCAGTACCAAGCCACAGATTTAACCTGAAGTGTAACTTTTAAAGTGTAATGAAATGGCCCAAGGTTGCTTTGGTTCTCAGGGAAGGTTGGCCCAACATGAGAGTACTTGACTTCCTCTGCTGTGGCTGGAGGGACACTGTCCTTATTGCTCCTCTGCTTTCAGCCCTGCAAGTGACAAAACTCTGCACATGATGAGCTCAACTGGGCCTTCCAGAAACTTTCAATAACAAGGGTTTTACCATGAGAGGGGAATGATGAGGACGATGCAAGATACTGCAGTCATGAAATGCCTACATTACTGGAATTTTACGGTCATATGTTCAGTTTAACGCTGATCATGTCACTTAGTCAGGACCCTGGGAGGAACTGCAAGGTAATACCTGCCAGAGATTGTAAATCCAATGCCATATCTGCTGTGGGACTGCACCACCATTTTTGGGAAGCCTGTAGTTCCACTGGTAAAATACACTATCATTGGGTCTTGGCTCCTCGTCTTGACACATTGATGGTCAGCAGATGCAACCCTTCAGAAGAAATTATATGTTCTGGTCACTACATGTAGTTGTCTACTAGGGAATCAGTATTTTTAATATTTAGGAGTTCAACAGGAAAGTTGCCCCAAGTTATATGATCTTAGTAATGAAATAGTTGCATTATATATCACAGGGAAAAGTTCGAGAACACAATTTGCTTGTCATAAGTAAACTCTGAATCACAAGGCTGAGGAGCAAGAAGCGGAAGTACCTGAACTTGGCTCCCAAAACCTGGGTTGCATGAATCTGTACTTAATGCAATGCAATCACAATGCTGTGAGTTGAGAGAGAAATGTAACTCATTTGGATTTTGAAAATTCCCCCCAAAACTCAGCAATGTCACCTGACTGGTACAGCTCCCTTCAGCTCACAGGCATGATGGTGAAAGAGCTGGATACTCACGCAAGGAGTTCTTTGAGGTTCAGCCACCCAGCCCTGCTCCCTTGGCCTACAATGAGTTTACTTTTCAGGAACTGGCTGCCAGGCAGGACAGATTCCACTGCAGGTGCCAGTGTGTCACTGGTAATGATACACTTGGCCTTTGAAGCCTGGAGTCGGTATGAGATGTCTTTGGCTGTTAGTTGGGATGTTCCTGGAATAAGGACAATTCCTGGAAAGAAGCAATTGAGAAAACTCAGTATTTCCCAAAGATACTTGATTGTGTCTCTCTGTTGATGCTGATTTTATCCATCATGGATGTTTAGCAGTTTAACAGCAGAACAAAATAGATATCTTGCATTATTAATGACTCTAATCGTATAAATTCTTCCATTGTACATTCATCTCCCTTTCAATGGATGTGGTCAAGCCTGGCTTTAGGCTGCAGCCATTCACCCCTCATGGCTTCACCTGAGGATGCCATTTGACTGGACCATGCCTGTCCCTGTGGTTCCTGTGTGGGTGCTGCCAATTCTCCTTCTAGGCAAAAGATCAGTTGTAGAGGTCACGTTAGAATGTTCCTGTGTGCATTTTCTTCACTGCCATCTAACACAGGGCTTGTAGCCTGTATTTGCTTTCTCTCTGCACCCAACAATCAGGGGGTCCCTCACCTGTTCGCATGCAGGCCACATTCAGGAGCCACCACTCAGGAACACGAGGCAGAACTGCAATGACTCTGTCTCCTCTCTGCAAACCACAGGCCTCAGAAAGGACATTGGCTGCCTTCCTGGACAGAGAGCCCAGCTCCTCAAAGCTCCACTTCACCTCCTCTCCCTCATCATTGACCCACCAAAAAGCTGGATTTGCTGGTTTTCTTCCATCCTACAAGATGTGAGAAGATATTAAAATAAGACAAACCTCAAAAGGTTTCACTTTAATACCAAATAACTCCTAACTAAGCAAATCATCCCTGGCAATCACTCTCTCAGGGTGACACCTATATTTCTGATAAACAAAGTAGAATGGTCTTTTCACTCTGCAAATAATATTGTCCAGTACCAATGAGGAAAATGGAATTGTATCGTCTTAGATTTGCTCCCCTGTGTCCTCGTTTTGCCTGGAATAAAGTAAATTTTCTTACTAAGTCCTGGTATAGTGTTGTGGTTTATGAATTTAGGATGAGTGTAGTATTGATAACACACTGATGTTTTAGTTGTTGCTAAGCAGTGCTTACTGAAAGGCAAGGACTTTCCAGTTTACCACACTCTGCCAACAAAGAAGTGCATGAGAAGCTGGGAGGGCTCCCAGACAGGAGAGCTGGCCTGAACTGCCCAAAGAGATATTCCACACCACAGCAGGTCCTGCTCAGTTTATACCCTGGGGGGAAGTTTGCTGGGAGGTGTCTGGGGATGGGCTGGGCATCAATCAGTGGAAAGTGAGCTACTACTACTGCTACTAATATTATAATGGTTGTTATTATTATTTTAACATTTCAATTCTTAAACTGTTCTTTCTTCAACTCAATGGGTTTTACCTTTTTTTTCTCTTGATTCTCCTCCCCATCCCACTGAATATGCGTGTGTGTGAGATCCAGGGACTCTGTGGTTCTTTGTTAACAGCTGGGGTTAACAGCACAATGTCTATAAAGTAAGACAAATACTACCTTTTCCAGTCGTGCCCACTCATCTAAGACATCACTAGCAAAGTTGAAATATTCTGGAAGTTCCTTTGTACACTGGTTTATAGGTTCATAGTAGGAAACAATCTGAGATGTAAGAAGCCTGTTGTTTCCGTGGAATGATCTGGAAGGTGACCTGAGAATCCACAAACACTGAGGAATCCAGGATTTAATAAATGTTCTCATGATAAATTATGTTTTATCAGTCAGTGAGGAGAAGAATCAGGCACACACCTAATGAATCAGTCACCTGGAATGAAAGAAAATACATTTAAAACCAGACAGTTATTAGATGCTGTCCCATGTATGATGTTAGATAAATTAATGACAACTGGCTTGAATAAACAGGTTGTTTACACACATCCTCATTCTATGTCATGTTCCTATATTTTTGTGATGTGAGTATTTAACATTACAGTATGCAGAAGGAATAAGTACAGTCGCCTTGAGGTTAATAAAATTAGCAGAGTTGTTGTTATGAATCCTGCAACAACAACAACAACAACAACAACAACCAACATAACAAAAAACCTTGAGGTTATCCAGACAATCCAGTTATGAGCTGATGGGCTATTCATTGAAGTCACTCAGGCCCACTGCCAGACTGATGGTTTGAATGGTCCAAATAAATGTGAAGTTCCCCATCCCACTTTCTCGTATTTTTTACCTTCTGTGTTTTAAGGACTCAATGTCCTGTATTAATCTTGCACCTTGCCTGTGTCTCAGCTGATGTGTTGTTTGGGGCTGTTAATTGCCCACAACTTTCCTTCCTCAAACACAACATCAGATGTTAGTGTTTGCATTAGAAGAATGTCCCTGCTTCTTCATCAAAGCATTCACTAGCTGATTCTCCATTCCTTTTCCTTCCCATGGAGCTGAAGAATATTTCCTAACTTCTACCGACATTCTCACTCCTTTAGCCTCAGCAGCTGCTGACACATATGTCCATTCACTACATCCATCCCAAGAACTTTCACTTCAGTAATCTCTTGCATCGGCCCCCAAAATTGATTTACACACTACTTGCCTCAGAACACCTCCTTGATTTTTCCATGTCTCAGCATATCTTCCAGGAGGATTTGCTCCATTACCTTCCCAGGCAGAGAGGTTCTACATTTGCTTGCTGCAGATACCCTCTTCCATTACAAAATCACAGGTAAACTCTGAATCAAATACTTTTTCCTGGGAAAGTTTTGTGGCCTGAGTGAAGCTGCAAAGTTTTGCCCTTTGCCCCAGGTTTTTAAGCTCATTTTATTGTCTTTTACCCCTTGTCCCATGTCTTAAGTCGTAACTGTTTATTTTCACATCTTTGATGCACAGATCTCAGCATTGGTCAAATTCTATTCCTCAAGAAAAAGTTACTTATTTAACACTGGAACTATTGCCTTATTCCTTAGCAGAACCTTATACAGTAATATTTAACCTGCCTACCAGGCAAATTAGTTCAAATACCCGAGCTTAACACAATCTTTTCAGTGATATCTGCCAACATAAACAATCTGGATACAGATTTCCCCCCACCCCCCAAACAGATATTTTGTGAAAAGCAACAGAAATTCATGGTGTTCTCCACACTCCTTGGACATTGTGGCAGAGAAACACTGACCAGTTGTAAACAATCCTTAATCACTTAGGATGATGTTTCTCTTTTCTCAGTCTGCTCTAATTCTCTGATTTAGCTGTAACTTGTGTATTTCAGAGCATTACAATGACAAAATCTACCCGATAGACTATGAGAGAAAGAGGAGGGACATAATATTTAGGAATATTTAGGTAAATTATATTTAAGATTGACAAGATGGCACATCTGGATTCCAGAGTACTCTACAAACCCATCCACCAAGAAGACTGTGAGAGCCTTCAAGATTTTAGCACTTTCTCATCTGCAAATGTAGAAGTGAAAATGAAGACATAAAACCGAGGAAAAGACCCAATAATGGCAAAGTTCTCAGAATGAGTAGTGAGAATCAGAAATTATTATTCCTGACTTAACAACATTTGCTTTGCTCAGTGATCACCAGCACGAGGAGTTCAGATAAATAACATTTTCCTGACCTACCTGCTGTACACAGGAGAGACTGAGAGCTGCTGGGGGAGATTCTCTTTATTCATTTCACTCACCTTTCAGGACGTGCTTCCCATATGAGGCACTGTAAAGATCAGCTGTTCCCTGGAGATGTGAAACCTGACCATTCCTTCACAAAGGTTTTGGAGTGAAACTCTTCAGACTTTATTGCTCACTTCTTCTGGAGTAATGAGAAGACAAGGAGGCACAAAACAGACCAAGCAGCAGAACTCTTTCTGTGGAGTAACTTTTTTCTTGTAATCATTTACACCATTGTTTATTGTGCATAATTTGCACCTTAACCTAAAGCACTTTTGCCTCCAGTTTAATCATTTAGGTAGATCACAAATTCATCATGATGAAGAGAAGCATTAAAAAGAAATGCCTTTTTCCTTCCACCCCGAAAGACTTTGAGAATGTTACAGTGGTAGGTTTTGGATATTAAGTAATTGCTGATATCCACCTTAGGAGAAATATATTTTTATTAATTTCTCGTTTATTTGGAATTTTCAAAGCTTCATCGTTTAACCCATTTTTTTAAAAAGAAAGATGTTTATACAAATTGCAGTAAAAAAAACCTAGAGGTCTGTATGAACCTGAGTCTTTCTCTCTCCCATTCCACCCTTTGAATTACTTGCACTTCCTTCCTTCTGAAAATTTATAGGTCGATGGCAAAAATGGTTCCAATACCACATATCCACAAGAACGTTCTCTCCTTTTTCTTCCACGGTTTGTTTTTCCCAATGTTCTCGTTCTGCTTTGCTTCATGACAACCTGCTCTGTGTCATGTGTTATGGCTGCTACATGTGATGGAGAATTTCTCTCCTGGTTTTCCAGATCATTTTTGCTGCTGTCATTCTCTTGCCCACTCTTTGTTCTTTAGAACCTTTCTCTGGATTTTCCCAGTAGCTGTCTTTGGCAGCTCCTGAACAAACTCCACCTGAAAGGCAAAAATGCTCCCTGTAGCCAAACAATTGTGGTTAATTTCCCAGGTGCAACAAAAGATAGTGAAAACACTTTTAGCATGCAATAACTGGGGATAAACACAAGGGAAGCTGCACAACCAGAGCTGGAATGGTGAAATTCCTTACTACACTTTGTAGCTACTGCACAGACAGTACTTGCAGGGAGATGTACCATGACCTCTAGGAGCTGAGTGCTTCAACTTTCAGAACAGGGAATTACTGGTGTCTTTCCTAGTGAGAAGAGATGGATTCCAACCCACTGATGCCAGCAGGAACTTCAGGTTTCACAGGTGGCTGTGAGTCAGAGGAGAGCTCAAGGTAGAACTGGTTAGAATGGAATGCCTTGCCCATCTGAGCTGCTGTGAAAACTCCTGTACTCCATGAAAGAAAGACTGGGTCCTCATGAAGTAAAATTTCATGACCATTGCCTCACTCCAGGAACTTTCTAGCACACACAGCCAACCCAAGGCTACAGCTGCAAGAGACCCTGTAATCTACTTTCATTTTATCTAACTCAGGTTGGAGTGTTTGTCAGAATGCTGTTGAAAAAGAGATGAGGCAGGACAAAAAATGCTCCGTTTCTGGTACAATGAGAGAGCCTGTCTTCTTGGGCTGTGCTTACCTTCCTTGGATACTTGTAAGGTGCAGTCACCTTCTTGACATGTTGTTGGAGTTCAAGAGTTAATTTTTCTGGATCGTGTGATACAAAATCAGGAGCTAAAACAATGAAGGCTTTGACCACCTGTGCCACAAAAATGAAGGGATTCCATTAACATGCAGAGGTGGCAATAAAGGAATACATTTGTTGTGAAAAGCGAGTGTCTCAATTGAGAATTCCAAAATGTGAGCTCTTTCTTTAATTTCCCTTTTCATTAGCTGTTATCAACTGCTGAGCTACGAAGGACCCATTCTGCAGCAGAGAATGTTTTGCTGTTTTCCACTTTTTTTTCTTAACTTTGTACATTATTAAACTTTCAAGAAGTTCTAGTACAGAAAATAAAGAGAGATTAAAATCTCATCCCAGTTGCTCAAAGAAATGTTGCAAAGTTGGAAAGTATAAAACAAAACTCTGGATGTCATTGCTATAGTGCACTAAGTGACAAAATGATAAATAAATGAAATTTCATTGCTTAGGTAAAAGCATGTCATTATTAGTCTGAAAAGTCAAACTATTTTCCCCCGTTGAAACCTGCAAACAGAGAAATAATTCTGAAATTGTAAGATCTATTAAGATATGGATTTAAAAAAATATTAGTCCATTTAATTTCCAAAATCTACAATTTATCGAAGCCTAGTACATACAGGGATACTGATGTTTAGAATAAAGGGCATTTCTTTTACATCTTTTCTCTATTTTGTTTTACCTCCCCTCGCACTGGGTCAGGACTGCTGACAACAGCCACGTCTGAGACTGCTGGGTGCTGTATCAATGCACTCTCCACTTCAAATGGGCCAATGCGGTACCTAGGGGGGCACAAAGACACATCAGCCCCAGCAGCATGCACCAGTCCATTGGTCTTTGCATTTTCCTTCATGAGGCAAATCTAAAAGGCAATGCCTTACCCAGCAGAATTAATGATATCATCAGCTCTTCCAACAAACCACACATATCCCTCTTCATCCATAGTGCCTCTATCTCCAGTTATGTAAAAATCTCCACGTACAGAGGCAGCAGTTTTCTCTGGATTATCCTGGCAACAATCAAACATTTTCAAAAAAGTATCTTACTGTTAGTGGATTTTAATGCATTTACTTTGCAGTGATGCTAAAAATGAACAATTGTTCTCAAGACGAGTGTGTTCAATACTGCTTTATGTTTACAATTAAATAAACAGTGCCACGTTAGCAGTTTTGTTGTGGGAACATATGAGTGTGGACAAAAGCACTTTTTAAGTAGAGATTTCTGTTCTATAGAGAAAAGGCCATGCTCTATCAAAATGCCCATTCACCACTGGAAATGGCTAAAATGTGTAATCCACTCTGTTCAGGGAAATGATTTATCATTGCAGGAGGTTGCCAAAATAACTTCCACACAAAGGAAACTTTTTCCTCTTAATTGTCAAACCAAACACAAATGAGGTGACCTGCAGGAAAAAACATTATCTGACCTTCAGGACCTACATATCCAGTGTAATCTCTTGGTTACACAGGAAAAACATTCTGACAAAAGAAGACATAGTGAAAACCTGAAATAACAGTATTGAAAGTAAAGAAGATTTTTATGACATAGTGAGAAATGACTTTGTGCAGGTTATTGTATGAGGATGCTACAAGTATACAAACATTATGGGAGTTCAGAAGAGGATTAAAAACATAGGTAGGTTCCCCAAAACCTATTGAATATGACAGTTCCAATACAGGGGAGAATATATTTAAGTTTGCCTGATTCCACTGTTTCCTTAAGAATGTCCTGCACCTCAGCACTACCACAGATGAACAGTTGCTTAGGTGGACCTTTGACCTGAACCAAGATATCTCCTCTTGGGTGTGTTTTCTTAACCTGGATCAGCTTTCAGTGGGTAGAGCTTTCCCATTTGAAAAGTGGTGTTTGATTACGTGTGCCACTACCTCAGAACCGTATGATTCTCTACATGTGAGGGGTTTTGCTGTAGCTTGTGTTTGTGCTGTTGATCTTGTGCACATGACTGGCTCTTGTACAAAGGTTTCTCTGACTGCAGGGACTGCTGGAGTGGGGGTACCTCTGACAGTGGTATGAGGGAATAAAATACTTGTGCCTTGGAAAGACTCTCTAAGCTTCTGATGTATAAGAGAGGAATTTATGTGTATTCTTCCATAATGTTTAACCAAACACAGGAATGGAATAGAGGGAAAAGAGTGTACTCTGAACAGGAAGTGTATGGCAACTGCTTGGTACACAACTGGAACAAAGCATCCCCTGGTTAATGTTGCATTTTGAAGCTACACTGTCAGTCAGTCTGTTCCTGGAACTATGCACTGATCAGGCTCAAA